ACTCATTAGAACACGTCGAATTTCAGCAAAGTTGGGCAGGAATTGCTTACAGAAGTCCATGAATGCTTCAGCAAACAGTCTTCCCGAGTGCTGTATCGGCGGGAGATGAGCCATTGCAGCTCTAATGTCCGTATCAGTCCAAGGCCGGAAAACAAGTATGGGACCTGAGTGTCCTGGTACTTGAATCATTGGGGTTTGGAGCACAGATTTTGCATCCGGGGGAACTCCCTCTGGGTCGAAAGAGGGGGAAAAAACATCTGATGTAGATGGTTGCTCTGCAATCAGTTTGTTGATGGCAGAAGTGTCCCCTCCGGTTGCTCCTGGAGAGCGAGAGCGAGTGAGGAGAGCAGCCTGTCTCTTTTCCTCCTCTTCGCCGAGGAGTCGTTCCTGTGCTGCTTTCACTGCCGCTTCCTTTTCCTCCCTCTGCCGGGTGTAGTGAACTTTTTGAGCTTGTGACCATGCAGACGAAGGTTGCTGGTTCGCAGGTGAAGCAGGGTACGGTGGTGGGCATGTGTTGAGGAGAGGGCCGCCAGCCCCTGTGAGACTCGGATACAAGGGAGAAGAAGCACATCGGTCATTTTGTTCAATAACATTTGGATCTGGTTTTTCAACCAATGTGGTTTTTGCGCATGTCAATTCTTTAGCCATTTGTTTCCTTTCTCTACATTCACATTCATCCTCCCACCATTTTAACCATTTACTTTGTTTCTCAATGTTCTCCAAGTCTTTGCCTTTTATCACCCTCTGAGATTTTATACCCTTCTCTTTTCCCTCTAAGCCTGTTCGTAACATGTTCAGTTTTATTCTACTGAAAGAACCATTTGCAGGGAACCCAAAATCTTTTGACCACTCGGGCAAAAACTCTAGAGATTGATCTCCATATTTCCTTCTCATCAGATCCACAATGGGTCCCTCCGGAGAACCCATTTCCTTTTTACCTTTACCGTGTACACCACCCATCTTTCAGGCGTGGTGAAGTATACTTTTTATTACTTAAAATATAGTCGTCACTATAAGTCTTGATTTTCTTTTACGTAGGAAAAATACAAGTTAAAACCCAACCAGAACTATTGGTTAATAAATATAGGTCAAGGGCGCAAATATCTGTTCTCAGATTACTGTCCGAAAATCCCGATATTGTTCCTGTCTTCCTGTTAGGTCAAGGGCTGAGATTTTGCGATTTCAGTGAACTCTCAAAATCCCTCCTATCTTCCCCTTCGGTCAAGGGTCACAATTGTCAATTGCCCTCGTCTTCCTCTTTGGTCAAGGGTCACAATTATGCGTTTTCAGAGTGTTAGTCTGAATACAATCGTAATACGCAAATTGCTCCCTGTCTTCCTCAGTAAAAAGTTGGATGCTGATGAACCGGAAATACTGTACAATTACTCTTATAATTTTATACACATTTTTCAAATAACCGGATAAAAAGACAAGTTATCATCATTAGAAGCCCAATCAAATAACCGAAATTTGGATTTTCTAAGAAGAGAGAAAAATTTTTTTTTTTTTAAAATCCCAAAGTACTAAATACCCGTCTTTGTAATCTGTTATCACCCGTTATAATTCAGGAAGCCCCGTTTGAAATCAGAATATCAACTTCTTACCCGATTCGTGTGAAAATCTTCCTCATCGGATCGTGTTGAAGCCAATCAGGTCTCTTTTGGTCGCCGGTCCCCTCTCTCTGAGTGTGATGAGGTATAGGGCAGAATCACGTTTGGTGGATCCTGAAGGGGTCCCTTCCCGGACGTCCTCGGAGTCCCGATGGAGCTTCAAACGATCCCACTTCTGACACCAAATTGTGGTGGAAGATTTTGCACAGACAATCGTTAAGTAAGAATCAAAGGCTCTGAGTCAAGTATGTCTTTTCTCCGTTTATTTCCTTGCAAGGGAAAAAGGGTCACAACAGCTACGTGGTCAGTAGACTGTCAAAACCCTCCTTTTTCCTCCCAACCCCTCGAGGCAGTTCTTATACCTAAACTTAGATATCGGTGGCGTCAACAGAAACCGTTAACCATCTTGTTGAGTCTCTACAGCCAGGGTACTGGGAACATCTTATCCATGTGAGACACATCAGTTCTTTGACCGTGTCCTTGCTCTCCCAACATGCTTAAACAAAGGTGGTCATAGACATAACAAACACTTTGTTCAGTCTCTACAGCTATGACGCTGGAAACATCTAATCCAAGTGGGAGACATCAGTTCGTATGTCAGGGCCTTTGTGATCTAAGCACTTGCAACTAATAAACTGGTTATACAAATGAAGCATTTAAAAGGGTCACATATCATTTTCCCATTACAACGTTTAAACAGCAATAAAACAGTGATGATAAAAGCAGAGACGGATCCATATTCAGTAAAGATTGTCACTCGCTGCCTTCATCAAAGTGGATACATGTGGACGGCCCCATCTCCATTTTCTCCTCTTCCTCCTCTTCACTTCCTCCTCTTCCTTCACTTCCTCCTCTTCCTCCTCTTCTCTTCCTTCTCTTCCTTCACTTCCTCCTCTTCCTTCACTTCCTCCTCTTCCTTCACTTCCTCCTCTTCCTTCACTTCCTTCACTTCCTCCCCTTCCTTCACTTCCTCCTCTTCCTTCACTTCCTTCACTTCCTTCTATTCCTCCTGGTGTCCAGCGTTGGTCAGTGGGATCTGCATCAAAGAACAAGAAGTACTTATTGGATAGTATTGTTGGACTGAAGTACAAAGGACCAGATAGTAGAATATCTGCAGGGCTTCTTCTCTAATGACTCCTTTGGGCCCTACAGGTTCTCATGGAGGTCTCATGTGTTTAATGGTTGTAATTAAGGTCATTGAGGTTAATGAAGTTCCATCTACAAACTGTCATCGTGTGTCTGTGGATACTGTGCACGCTGTGTACAAGAAGGACACGCACACAGATTCATTAAGGACATTAAGTACAACCAGAGTGTACGTGGATATAGTTTGACCTTTTGGAGACAAACAGGATTAATATTTAAGTTATTCATGATATGATGAAGGTTCTAACAGGCCTCCACACTGAGCTCTTCCTCCTCACCTGAGTGCCGTTCTCTGGTCTTTGTTCAGGCCGTTCTGGGAACATTCTTCTCCTGCACAGAAGAATGAATGAAAAAACAAATCAATGATCAAATCAAGTGATTCAACGACTGTGTGAATGTAAGATCCACATCTGCATTTTATCACAGTGAAGCTGAACCGCTCACTTGATGTAGGGGACAGCGAGGACGATGATGATGATCAGCAGGAGAACAAATATGACAATATCTTTTGTTGTTGACCATGTGCAGCCTCCTTTTCCTACACGGGAAAGAAAGCAAACAACAACAAATATAAACTATTAAATATGGAGGGTGGAGGATGAATTAGTGACAAAAATAAGATGTTTAACTCAGTGAAACAGAACATCAGGCCATCTTGGGTCGGTCAGCTGGCTCACCCATAACATTGTGTTGGTAGTAAAACATGTACTTATATGAATAATTATTATATATATAATACAAAATGATGTTACGTTCTAACAAATAGAATAATGTTCTAAAATAGGTACAAGATGCATGTTGAAATCCGCTCCCTGCACACAGATGTAGTTATGACACTGCGTACTTATGAATAATTGTAACCATGGGTTTTCATACGGAAATGATATTAAACAGAACATTATTCATACGTATGCAGTGTCATAACTACATCTCTGATGTTTATAACAAACCAAAGACATCTAGCCTTTATATATAATATCTATGGCTGCATAGACGTCCTCTTTATCCCCAAGTTAGCGACAGAAGAGTCACAAAGCGACAACCAAGCAGCTCAGGAAGAGAATCCAGCGCTGAAGAAAAGCTCATGTCCAATGTGAGACTTGTATGTTAATGACATGTGGTGCAATTAAGAACTCGCTCTCTTGAGCTCTACATGTTGAAAGCAAGTATTCGTTTGTGTTTGTGCGTGTGAACGTGATTGTGTGGTGATGTAAACGGTCACAACAAGCAGCAGGAGAGCAACTTGTAAACCTCGAGGTGTCCTGAATGCTCCAAACATCACGCCGTTGTTTATTTAGGCTGCTCACATGTAACATTCATCTTTTTATTAACAGGACAAAGAAAAGGACTTTTCCCAACAGGGACCTCAGAAAACGTATAGCATGCCGCACCATGACATTGTGACTGCATACAAAGGTCACACATGACTATATGAACATCTATTTATTGAACTTTAACAAAAGTGCAAAGTGCAAATGTAAAACAAATCTCTCTTCTGGCATTTAGTCCAGCGCTTCTTTAATGTGTCTGGTCCATTTATTAAAGCAATGATGATAATACAAACAAAATTCTAAATAATCAATTCTTTTATACGGCCACATATTAAAAGAAGAGATGCAGATGTCATGTGCTGTAAACAAAGCAACTAGTGGAGGCGGCAAGGTGCTCAGTGTTGCCACATTGGAAATGGTCAAGTATCGTACCAAAGGCTCAAAATGGTCGTATGTGGAGGATAATTATCGTGTATCTGGCAACATGGCGATCGGTCGACCAATGACTGTTCTCTCTACAGTCAGAGCTCGCGCAGGAAGGTGGAGCGTAAGGGAGACGCCATTTACACCACTTGTGAGGGCGGAATAACTAGTTTGTGAAAGACTCAGAAACACAAATATCCGATGAAGCAAAATCCCAGACACATTATTTAGGTCTCAGAAAGAGGACGTCTGGTCACCCTGTGAGTCACTTCTTTAGCTGGATTGTTGATGTAATGTGTGAGAGAACAGAAGAATGAGTGTGATTTACCTGAAGAAGGAATCCGAAGTAAGGTGGAGTTACTACGTCCCATCTCGTTCTGGGCTTCACAGTAATAATTCCCACTGTGTTCAGCTGTGAAGTCAGTGATGGTGAAGTTCTGTCCTGATGCTCGTGGTGAGTCTTCATGCTCCTTGTACCAGGTGTAGTTAGCTGCTGGGTTAGCATCAGTGCTACAGGTCAGAGTCACTGAATCGCCCTCCAGCATCACAGCAGAGGGACTCACTGACACAGAGGGACGCTGTGGACCATCTGGAGGAGACGTGAATAAACATACTAAGAGGTTAGAAGATGTTAGCGTAGATAGTTGATCATTTGAATGAATACTTGTGTGTCTTTCTCTCAGACTATCTCTATTATTCATCACAGCAGCTGTCACAGGTGAGACTCCTGCTGGTGTAAAGTGACAACAAGCAGCCTTTAATCCTTTGTAATGTTCATATCTCCACACATTCTTCTCTTTAGATGCTGCTTGTGTCCTTAGCTGAGTCTGTCCTCTCACTTCTAGTTGTTGTAGGAGTTATTGATTGTTTCCTCCACCAGCTGACACGTCACTTCTACTTATGTTCTGGAATAATTCACTTGAGTCTTTATGAAAATCACATTATTCTGTCTGCTGATGGTTTATATTTGTGTTTCTATTAATAAGAGAATGACATAAATAAAGATCTGTGTCTCCTTTAACATTTAGACTCCAGCGTGTTTACAGCTGTGATTAGAATCATATTGTTGTGTCAGTGTGTGAGTGACTCTTCTACACGTAGACTGCAGGGGCCGGGGATTGAACCAGCAACCCTCTGGTCAGTGGACCACGGCTCCACCTCCTGAGGAACGTTGTGCTTCATCTTTTTGATGCCTCTAGTTTACATGCAGCGGTCTGGTGCCTCCATGTGAGATGTTGTTGAAGCTCCACAGGCCGACACAGTGGAGTGAACTTACACACTGCAGGAGAACCGTTATCCCAAGATCCTCTTAAATCACAGGAATATCTGTCTGTAGAACCAGAGGAGACTAGAAGAGAAGATCCTGTCTTGATGTTCTCTTCATTCTTGAACCAGTCGTATTCAGGATGATCAGACAGAACACAGCTGCTGTGACACGTCAGCTCCAACCAGGTAGAATCTGATCTTCTCACCTGCACCTGGAGACCTGAATCTGTGAATATTATTTATTAAAGTGTCAACATTCACAGAAGACATTTATACTCTAGTTTTCTAGATGTTGAACATTTGTAGATGATTAATATGTGAATTAAAATGTTACCTGTGACAGACAAAGTGACTCCAGGTGAACCAGTATATTTCTCTCCTGGTTTGTTTGTCATGAATGTGAGTTTGTACTCAGCTGAGTCGCTCTCTCTCACGTCTGTGATGGTCAGATAACAACTATCACTATAACATACATACGTCACACGGCCTGAATACTCAGAGTCTGTTCCCAGATCCACAGGTTCACCATCTTTCTCTTTAGTGAACCAGAATCTGTCCTTTATATCAGAGGGATCTATTCCAGGTGGGTGTGTGATGTCACAGCTTATATACACTGTTGATCCTTTTAAAGCACAGACGTCAGTCTTGAGGTAATTCACTCTCCATCCATCCTGACTCTGTATCACTGTAACACAGCACATCAGGAACCACAGTCACACTCAGAACAACATCACAGGACACACTCTCATTGGTAGTTTACTGAAGAGAAAAGATATGATGAGAAATATGAAAATCATTGAGTTTATAGAAAGTAATGAAAGAGTCCACGATGTCCACATGGACTCTGCAGCTGGAAGGAACAGCGACGTATTGAACCTGTGGACCTGAAAAAGCTCAAGTTGAAGTATTAGAAGGGTTTGGTTGATGAGAAGAAGAGTGTCTTTGCTCTGTGCTCTTCTGTCTGTGGTCAGTCTGCTGCAGAGTGGAGATAGAAACTGTAGAGAAATGCAGAACTCTGAGGGGAACGATACTGTGACATATAGGTCAAACCTCACTGATGACACGGCGCTCAGCATCCGGCAGTGAATCAAGTATCTGTGACACAGGTCAAAGCTACAAAATGTCCCTCAAAGAGACACTGAACAACCAGGAAGAGAATAAAAATGACCACAAATACACAATAAAATGCTCCAAAAAGAAGAACAGACGTCGTCAGAGACTCGGAGTGAATAACAGCCTCTAAATGTGGTCTAATGCAAAGAAACGCTGCTGAACGATTAGAGGAAGTTCAACAGAGACAAATTATTCAGAGCATTTCTTCTTTGTTAATGTTCATTTAGTCATTATTTGTGTGTGATGACATCAGACCTGTGTGTGAAGTAAAAACACAGCTCCCTGTGTGTGTGTGAGGTGTGTAACGGCCTCACAATATAAATGTAGAAGTACAGTACCTTGTACAGAGAGAAGGAAGACGACTAATCCACCGGCTGATGGACTCATAGCTGCTCCTCTGTGTTCAATCAGCAGATCAGAAACTCTTTATTCAGTAAGTCACCAGAAACACGTCTACATTAAAGAGGAGGCTGATGTCTCTGAGGTCAGCTCGTCTCTTCTGGAGTTGGTAACAAGCTGCTGTTCAACACCAGCAGAGCTTCCTTCCTCTTTCCGTCATTAGTGTGCATGAGCTGCTGAACAAGAAGCTGCTTTAATGTTAACGTCTTACTTCTGCTACAAGGAAACATCATAAAAGTGTTGTTAATATGTGAAGATCATCTTGATGAACCTGTAAGCAGCATAAACGTCTCTTCATTCTCTGTAATAATTCACATTAAGTGAAAGGCTGCAGTGTGACGTCCTCCTGTTAACATGTAGATAAATATGTCCTCTCTGCAGCTCTTCATACGTCTTCCTCACATTCACTGCAGGACACAAACAACACAAACAAGCTGTCAACTCACACAAATGTTGCTTTATTCATTTATTGTTCACACATTTCCATTACAATATGAACGTGTCTGTTGAGGACAGTGTGTAGTGTTTAGTGACATCTAGTGGTGAGGTTGCAGACTGCAGCCACCTGCTCCTCCCTTCAAGTCCTTCAGGTAACGTGGAGATGAACAAAGGCTCCGGGTGGAAATATGAAGCGCTCCTTTAAACAAACAGATGTCTTCGTGATGAAAACATGGTTATGAACATCATATTTCAGTTAGAGGATCCATCAAAGTCCTTCACTGGACCTGTGGAGCAGTTTAACAGATGAAGGTTGTCACTGAGCAGGAGGAAGTTCTCCCACAGATCAGGGACCTCCACGCAGAACCCGGGACTTCTTCAGGATCCAGATGGAGGGAAGCTCCCGCTCGAGGACCTTCTTGCACCAGCGTCTGGACCTGCAGAACCAGAGGAGAAGATCCAGCTTCACACTCAGAGACCCAACATGAGAACACAATGCAAACACAACACTTGTTGTTATACTGTGTTTTTAAATCACTGATCACGGCGATGGAAGTCGCTCTGAAGACCTTAAATGTTAACAACACCTCATAGTGTAAATCAAGGGTGTCAAACTCATTATAGGTTTGGGCCAGACCATTAAAATCATGAGTGGGGGTCCGGCCGACAGGGGGGACACAGTCTTTTTTAAGGGTCTGCGGCCTGGAGTGACGCCCTCGTCGAAAAGGAGAAAGTTCATTAATTAATATAAATGACTTATCCTGGTCCGGCGGAATGTGGCAGCACCAGTAGTTGACTACACGCACCCCGTTGCTCTTGGCTCTGATATTTATTTTACACGCATTGTTGTCTTCCGTGAACGCAGAGTTCAGGGAGACGCAGAATCAACGTGTTCACGTCTACGTGGATTTAAACCATATAGTTAATTATATTTAACTGTGTCCATGGTTATTTACTGGAATTACAATATATTCAATGTTGTTATTTCATAGGATGTTCAGGGTCCATTTGCAACCATTGTTGTATTCATCTTGTTTTATTCATTTCATTTAAAAACCAAACAAAGTTACTTACCACTGATTGTGTCCATGTTAGTTCCACTTTAAAGCCATATTTTAGGGCAGCTTCTCAATTCTTTGCTCAGTTCAGACGTTCTATTTCACCCGATCCCATCGGTTTCCCCCACAGGGGGTGAGCCCACAGGGAGTAGAGTCTTGGGATGCCGCGTCACTCCTTCGGGCTGTGCCCGGCCGGGCTCCGCGGTAAACCCGGCCACCAGACGCTCGCTGTGGGGCCCTCCATCTGGGCCTGGCTCCAAATGGGGGCCCCGGTCTTCCTCCGGGCCGGGTAACTCCTTCTGTTTTTTTCATAGGGTATTTTTGAACCATTCTTAGTCCGGCCCCTCGCCTGAGACCACTTTGCCAAGGGTAACTCTACCAGGAGCACAAGGCTCCCGACAACACAGCCCTCACGGTCAGAGGGACACACAAACCTCTCCCCCACGATACGGTGACGGTTCCCAGAGAGGGTCAACTAATGTGTTGAATCATTATTTCTAGGGTATTTTTCCAGGCTTCGAAGACGCTGCTCTGCGACACAGCGATTATTGGGTTACACAGAATTTCCCTTATTGAAAGATATGGTTGTTCCTTTTTCTGGCCGCTCTAGATGAAGGACTCCTGGGTGCTTTCACATTGCAATCCAAGCGACTCCTGCAGTCTTTGCTCATGTGACTAACATGTGTGACCTTCAAGTTGGTGGGTTGTAGCTCCTGGATGTTGCCAAAAAGTGGATCTGAGGCAATTCTGACTCACTTTTCAATGAAGGCAACAAGATCGTTACACAGTGCTCTCTGGCACTGTCAGAGTCCCCCCCTCTGGACCCAGGTAAAGGCTGGTTTAGGTCTCCCTCTGGTGGATCTGGGAGAGGTTGGCTTCGCAAGCACCTGTCTCAGCTCTGCAATCACGCACCTTCACCGGAGCCACAATCACCAGGGGATAAGAGGGAGAGCCTGACAACCGGCCGACGTCGGATCGTTACTCACGTCACGTATGTCGACCTCAGTCTTCGCGAGTCTCAGTGACCGGCACCCAGTCAAGCCGAGAGCCGGCTGTTGTTCTCTTTTCATTCAGTGTAAATCGCGTTACTTACCTCTTGTCTCACCTCCTCGGTTACAGGGACACGTGTCTGTTCCTGCACGTGGGAGGACCACTGGGCACCGCGCACTGTCGAGGACATCATCACCCGGGACCCCCTCCTTCATCTGCACTCCTCACGCCCGCTCCTGCTGCACCTCCACAGTCGTGTCGATTAATAAACTGACTAATTCACTCTCCTCCTGACGGCTGTGTCTGTCTGTTCTGCGTTTGGGTCCAGCCACGTCCACAACCTGACAGACACTCCGACATTTCTCCATCTTTCCCTTTAGTTTATGAGGATGTTTCAATCTGAAGGTAGATGTTGACAACTGCACACCAGGGGCCTCATGTACAAAGACTTGAGTGGATTTCTTACTGAAACATGGCGTACGATCAAACTATATATAATATCCAGATGTATCAATATGTGCGAACGCATGAATCCAAGCACATTTCTTTTGTACATTGCAATCAACGTGGAATTGAGCTCACATGTCGGAGTACCCGACTCCTCCCTGTCCACGCCCCTACTTATATGCAATATACAAATAATATTTAAATCAGGAATTAGGAAACATTTATTAGCCAAAATATGTCAAACATACAAGGAATTTGTCTTGGCGGTTAGTGCGCGACAGTAGACAGACAAGACAACAGTGCACAAGTAATAAAATAAAGTGGAATGAAATGCTAATGCAATGGGTTAGTAGAATAAGGCTAAGGCTATGGGTTAGTATAAAACAGGGGAATAAAGTTAAAAAATTTTAAATATTAAAAAGAAAAATATTAAACTGTTAACAAGTAACAGACAAGAGACAAAGTGATGAATTGCAGTTAAAGTGGCATGTGCAGTATGAGGGGGAGTGACCGGTGGAGTGTTATAGTCAGGCAGTGGGGGACCGGGCTCTGTTGATGAGCCTGACTGCCGACAGGAAGAAACTGTTGGTGTGGCGGGAGGTCTTAGTCCTGATGGACCTCAGCCTCCTGCCAGATGGAAGGGGCACAAACAGTTTTTGTCCGGGGTGAGAGGGGTCGGCCACGATCTTTTTAGCTCGCTTCAGAGACCTGGAAGCGAACAAGTCCTGCAGGGACGGCAGATTGCAGCCGATCACCCTCTCTGCAGAGCGGAGGACACGCTGAAGCCTGCCCTTGTCCTTGGCTGTGGCTGCAGCGTACCAGACAGTGATGGAGGAGCAGAGGATGGACTCGATGATGGCCGTGTAGAAGTGGACCATCATCGTCTTTGGCAGGTTGAATTTCTTCAGCTGCCTCAGGAAGAACAACCTC